GCTCAAGTCGGCAGCTGCTGCAGCCGCGGCCCCCGCCGGCGCCGCCGCCGCGCTGCCGGCGCTGCCTGCCTCGAGCGCGCCGCAGGTTGGCCAGAGCACGCTGGGTGCGGGCGGCGCCGCAACCGGCCCGCCCGCGGTTAAGGATGAGGGTGCGCCCTGAGTGAGTCTGTCTTAGCCGGCATTTGCGGCGCCGCCCTGCCCGTGAGCGTGTGCGTGTGCGAGAGTGAGCCCGCCCAGCCCTGTTGCCGCCGCGTTTTTCCCATCGCGCGTGCATTTGTTTGCGGGCGCGTGTGCGTGTGTCGAGCTTTTGTTTTGGCAAGTGGTGGCCCTGCATTGTTGGCAGCAGCTGCAGACGCAAGGTGGTGTACCGTTGAACGGATGTGCATTCCCAGCAGCGGTGTGGGTCCCATGCGCCATCCACCGGCCCCCGCGCCCCCGGGGGTTTTTCCCCCGCACCGCCTGCGCCAAACTGTAGGGAGTGACTGAACGCACAGCGAGCGGCACCTGTCACGCCGGGACCCCTGCACGCGGGCTGGCGGCGTGTCTACATTTGAAACCCTTGACGCTGTAGCGCCCCCTTCCGCCTGCTCTCCCACCCCAACTGCGGTGCACGAAGCACCCCTCCACTGCAACACCATCCTCCTACCACACCTAGACGTAGATGCTATCGGTGGTTGCAGTGCTGTAATCACGACGAAACGGACACCCTGGGCTGCATGCATGAAGGGCGGCCAATCACCATCGCGGAACGCAGGGGCCGCCTCGCAGCGCCGAGTGCACACAAAGCACACAGCCAAACGGACCAGTTGATTACGTTCATGCTCCCTGCCTGCACAGGGCCAGGGCGAAGCTATCAGGACTTTACAGATGTTGGTATCCAACCTCTCTCCTTGCTGCTCACTGGTGCGGTGGCCTCAAGCATGTGACCTCAGTGCTTGCACACACAGCAAGAGCATGCAAGTGCAGCGCATCGCCTGCGGCGCTTCCGCATCATCTGCTGCAAGTAACCCTTGCCCTGCACAACACCGATCACTTTAACGCGCCACAGCGCGCTCTCTAGCCATGGCTGAGCCGGTCCTGACTTACTGGGAGAGGCAGCCTCCCCTCGCGGCCGTGGCGCTGGCCAAACATGCCAATGTGTCGCTGAAACACGAGGCCGATCCGAAGGCCACCAAGGAGACGGTACCCACGCTCAAGTTCTCCTCGGGGTGAGCCCATGTATCGCTCTTTGGCTCGTCAGATCACCGCCGCCCCTGTGCGTCTATGCTCACGAAATCGGTGACTGTTCAATACAGGGATGAGCTCGTGGGCACGCCCATGGTGCTGCGCTACATCGGCCGGCTGGGAGTTCAGGCCGGAAAGGCCCAGCTTTACGGAGCAGACCCCCTGGCAGCCTGCCAGGTCGATCAATGGCTGGATCTGTCGGCTCAGGTGGTGCCTGGGCAGGGTTTCGAGGCCGTGTGCAGCAGCATCGACAAGTACCTGGCGCTGCGCACGTTTTTGGCCGGCTACTCACCTAGCGTCGGCGACTTCGCTATCTGGGGCCAGCTGCAGGGTGAGCAATCCAATATCGCACAGATGCAAGCAATCTGTATGTTGTACAATGCACGGCGTTTGCGGCGTGCTGCAGGTTCACAGGCATTTCGAGGCCACGTTTGACTGCGGTTTGACTTGTTGTGTTGACGCGCAGTTGCGCGCCTGTTGCTCCCACCGCAGCATCCCCGCTGTGGAAGAAGGTCAAGGGCAGCGGCGCGGCGCCGCACCTCGCGCGCTGGTTCGACTTCATGGCGGCGCTGCCCGAGTGCGCCGCGGCGGCCGAGGAGCTCGACCCCCGCGCGGCGGCAGCCAAGGCCAAGGCGGGCGACGCGGCGGGCGGCGTGTCAAAGGGCGGCGGCGGTGAGCACGCGGCGGTCGGGGGCAGGCGCGCTATTGCAGGCGCTCGGGTGCCGATACCCCGGGAGTGCAGCTGGAACCTGGCGCAGCACGCACAGGAAGCGGCATAGTGGCAGAGACCACAGCACAGCCGGGGCCCAGGGAGGCTTCCCTTGAAGCCGAAGCTCTGCCTCTGCCGGGCGAGGCCCCACCCCGCCCGCCCCGCAACGCACGCGCCCCGCCTGCCCCGCCGCGCACGCGCCCGCTCCCGCGCGTGCGCCCGCAGACGCGGGGTCGTTTGACGTGGGCCTGCCCAACGCGGTGCACGGCAAGGTGGTCACACGGTTCCCCCCGGAGCCAAGCGGCTACCTACACGTCGGCCACGCCAAGGTGAGCGTCGCCCGGCGCGCGGTAGCGGCGGCCACCAGGGGCCGCTGCCGCGAGGGGGCGTGGAGCGGAGCGCCGACAGGGGCGGCGGCGTGGCCTGCGGGGCCGGCGGCGGGCGCGTTGATGGGCGGGAGGCGGCTGAACGGGCAGCTGGGAGGGCGGTTGCGCTGTGGGCTGCTCAGGCAGGGGCAGGCCGGAGTGGAGACGGGGGTGGGCACCAATGCCAGTGATACACGCAACGGTGCACCATTCAAGCAGCGGCGCTTTGACTCGCGCCGGCGCTGTCGCTGCTGCTGCCTGATATTGCAGGCCGCCCTCCTGAACAACCACTTTGCCAAGATCTACGACGGCAAGCTCCTGGTGCGCGCCGTATGCAAGGGCCTGCCCATCGGTGGCCGCGCCGGTGCCGCTTACGGTCCATAATCCCAGCCCTCACGATTGTGCCCAGGCCAGTTGCACCTCGGCTTTGCGGTCGCCATTTGCTCTGTTCACAATCTCGCTCCCTCGAGGCATCACGCGCAAACGCACAAGAGAAAGCGCGCACTGACACATGTACGAACACGTGCGCACACGTGCAAGAGGCGCACGCACGTACCCACATCCCACGCATCACAATCCACCCCCGCCCCTCAGGTGCGGTTTGACGACACCAACCCCAGCAAGGAGAAGGACGAGTTTGTGGACAGTATCATCAGTGACACCAAGAAGCTGGGCCTGGTCTGGGAGAAGACCACCTACACCAGCGACTACTTCCCGCAGGTCGGCGCCAGCGCAGCTAGTTGCCAACCCTTGAATTCCAGCCCCTAAAGTCAGGAGGGCTGAAGCACACGTTTGCGCAGCGACTTGCACCCCGGGCGTCCCAGCATCTTGACGCGCGTCGCCGCCCCGCGTCGCGGCAACGCCAGGACGGGCGGTCTCAAGCCGCGTGCGGCGCGGGGCGGTGGCATGGGCAGCCCGGGCCGCCCTGCGGCTGCATGAGAGGCGGGGATTCGCTGGGGGACCACTGGGCTTGCCAGCGGCCGCGGCGGCGGCTTCCCCTTGCCTGCGCGCCCTCCCCACCAAGGTTATTATCAGGGGGCTCCTCAACGAGCTGCGGCCGCCCTTGCCTCGCCCGTGCTCCCCCTACACACGCGCGCGTGCACACACACACACACACACACACACACACACACACACACACACACACTTTCGCCACAGCTGCTGGACCTTGGTAGGCGCATGATCAAGGCCGGCATCCTGTACGCTGACGACACCCCGGTGGAGCAGGTTGGGGGAGGGTGGGGCCATGGATAAGGGAGGGGAAGAGTGTGAGTGTTTTGGGGTGGGCGGGTGCAGGGAAGAGGAGGAGGTCCAGAGAGGGGGTGCAGAGGTGCAGAGCGCCGGCTGCAGGCTTGCTGGTGGGCTGTGCCGCACAGTGGTGCCAGCTGGAGCATCACACTGGCTGGGCTCCCAACATATTCAAGATGGTGCATGGCGCCGGCGCCGGCGCCTGCACAGGCGCTAATCCCATACGCACACGTGCGCCACCTGGCCGCAGATGCGCGAGGAGCGCATGCACGGCATCGACAGCAAGCGGCGCAACCGTCCGGCAGAGGAGAGCCTGGCGATCTTTGGGGAGATGATCGAGGGCAGCGAGGACGGGCTGCGCCACTGCATTCGCTACAAGATGGACATGCAGGCGCGCCGCGGGCGCCAGGAGGGGGAGGCGGGGTGGCGCGGGCGGGGAATGAGGGCTGCGGCGCGGAGGCGTGTTGTTGGTGAGGGCTGCCAGCCCTGGACCAGACGCATGCACCGGGGCCGGCACTCGGCACAATAGCGCACGCACACACCTGCCCTGCATGCCCGTGTTTCTCCCGGTCAGATTTCCGACGGCAAGCTATAGAAGCGGCGCTCTGGCAGCCCCCAAAACACACACGAATCATCTCCTGGTGGCCCTGACGTCAAAAGCCACGTCAAAAGCATGTCGGTCTTTGTGCGGGGCTTTGAAAACGCTCCAACCTCCTCTCTCACCCCCGTCCCTCCCCGCTGGTCCCCACCCCTCCCTCACCCTGCCCCACTC